TTCTGCACTGAATCTATTTGTATAGTTATTATTTAACTTAAATTCTTTAAATTTTTGTTTCTATTAACTGATTTTCTTTTTATTTATAGGCCATTATTTTTCTTTTCTACATGTCTAGTAATTTCATTTTCAATATTTCTTCTTTTCTAACACTTGTGTTTTCAGGCCATAAATTTTCCTCAAAGTAGTGCTTTCAATGATCCCACCTATTTTAAAATGCAATATTTTATTTTTATTCTTAGTGTTTTAAAATTTTTTATGACTCATGAATCATTTAGAAAGATGAATAGTTAGTCAGCTTTCCATGACTGTGACAAATACCTGAGATAATCAACTTATAAAGAGGAAAGATTTATTTTTGATCACAGCTGCAGAGCTTTCAGGCTATCATTATTTGACTTCATTGTTTTGGGGCCTGTGATAAAGTAGAACACTGTGATGGAGAGTGTGTGGTAGAGCTAAGCTGCTCACCTCATAGTGGCCTGGAAGCAAAAAGAGAGAGCAAGGGACCAAAGTACATATCTCCTTCGGGGGCGTGCCCGAAATGACCTGAATTCCTTCCACTAAGCCCCACCTCCTAACAGTGCCACCACTTCCCAATAGTGCCATAGCTGGCAGCCATGCTGTTAGCATTTGGGTCTTTGGGGGGCATTTAAGATCCAATATAATTCTTAACTTCTAAAGGAAGGTGATTTTCTTTCTTTGTTGTTGATTGCTGGCTTAGTTTTATTGTGGTCATAGAACATGTTGCATACAATTTTGATAGAGATTAATTGAAATTTAGGTTATGACCCAGGATATGGCCATTATCTATAAATGTTCCACATGTGTTAGAAAAGAATGGAACTATTAGGAGCAGGGTCCTGTATGTGCCCATTAAGTAAAATTCATTAATATTTTCAAATTTTTGCTGATTTTTTTGGTACCAGGGATTGAACCCAGGGGCGCTTAACCACTGAGCCACATTCCCAGCCCTTTTTTAATATTTTGCATTTAGAGACAGGGTCTTGGGCTGGGGTTGTGGCTGAAGCGGTAGCGCACTTGCCTGGCATGCGTGTGGCCGGGTTCTATCCTCAGCACCACATACAAAGATGTTGTGTCTGCCGAAAACTAAAAAATAAATATTAAAATTCTCTCTCTCTCTCTCTCTCTCTCTCTCTCT